CACCTCCTCCTCCACTGGTGTTTATACAGAAAGCAGCCCAGTGGCCATAGAGCCCCATGTGCGGAGGCTGATTCTTGAGAGGATGTGGAGTCCCTGCTGTTTGGCTTTTGTGAGTAAAGAAGCGCTCGCTCAACAGAAGCAGTGGTGCGTGTCATAGGCCCGAATGTACGAATCACGCAGCCCCCCAGCTGTATTGTGAGAAAACAATGGCCAAAAGCACTCTCGCCCTGAAACTCTTTGTATAAGCAGCGTTTTAAGGTACTTCTTACTGAGTGTGTAGTTTGCCCAAGGAGTCCTTTCAGTACAGCTTATCTAAAAAAAAAAAAAGACTGCAGTGACATTTTATCTGAAGGAGTTCAAAATCATGTATAAAAAGGGAAAGTTAACATAAAAATGTAGGGTTCATTTACTTATGCTTTTGTTCCAAAAAAGCATTTAGAGATGATGGGGCTTTAAGGGTACATTATGAACTTTGATGCACTTTTTTATGTACTTTGATAAAATAATATGAATGTGTCCGGAAAGAGTGGACTGAATGTTCCCTTAGACACCTGCTTTGTTGTGAATGACTCCCCCTGGTGGACAAATATTGCAAAGGCAGGTGCTGAAGTACTTTTATTTATTTTTTTAACTACTGAGTACTTTTTTAAGCTTGCAAGCATGTTTGAGAACAGCAAGGACTGTTTCCAACCGAACATACACAGGGATCAACATTCAATTATTGATTAACATTAATAGTTATGTTTATTTTATATTATTTTCGTTGCTAGTTTTTTTAAGATTATAATTATTATTTTGGCTAGTAGTTTTTGGATAAAACTATCCAAAGTTTTAGATAGTTAAAACTATCCACAGTTTTTCAAAAATAGTAATTTTGTATGTATTTATTTCATAAATGTTTTCTTTAAAAAAATAATTTTCTTTCAGCTGGAAATTATGCAGATGTAATCTAAATGTTTTTGCTGTATGATTCTGATTCTTCCTTTTTTCGTCATTTTTATTTTGTCAACCTCAAAATGTAATCTTGGTTACAAAGCTGAATTTGCGGCAGTGTTATTTTACTATCATTGAGATACTATTAAAAAAATGTATAGATATTTTGAATTAGTTTTTATTTTTATAGTTTTTATTTTTATATTTTAAGGTATATTAAGTTATTTTAGTACATCAAGTTAAACTAAATGGAAATGAGAAATGTTACCTTGGCCACTAGCTGAAATCAGTTTTAGTTTACTTTAATAACCCTGATTGCAGTAATGATGTAGAATACATCACATAAAAATGGATGTACAAAATTGATGAATGTAAGTTTTTTTTTAGTGGAAACAAACATTATGCTGATAATCAACTCAACAGTCCCCTTTTAGAATAGAGTTGTTAGAGAGAGAATAAAAGAGAAACTGACTTTTCAATACAGAATTGTGTGTTAGGGCCACTGTTTCCTGGGCCATCTGCCACGTACATTAATGTGCTTGAGAGGAAGGCAGAGAGAGAGAGAGAGAGAGAGAGAGAGTGAGCGAATGAACAGTCTGATAGCATTTGTGCACTGACTGCCTCTGCAGTGCCCTGTGAGAGCGCCAGGACACCTTCCCATGGGCATCGGCATGACAGAAACGCCACTGAATCACTGCTGATGTTTGCACAGCTCCAGATTCTGCCTCGCAGTGAGCGTCCTGTCGCGTGTGTGTACTGAGCTTCCTGGAAGTCACCATCCGCGATACTTTATTTATTACCTGCTGTTAAACGCAGCATTATCCGCGCATAATGCCACATAGAAAATCTCGGTCAATGGTGCTAACGTGAAGCCATTCATTGCGATCGCAGATCTGGATTTCTTTTCAATGGAGCTAGCCTTTGTTTAACAGCTCTCATGCACATAAAAGAGGGAACATCCCCAGGCACAGAAGCCTCACTGGCTTCCTTCCTGATGTGGCTGCACTGTGAATGTGCTTTGCTTTTGTGTCCTGCTGTTGTTTCTGATGCCTGGATGGATGGCTCGACATGAACCGCCTACAATGGGGCGAGATCATTAGCCATTCACTTTGCTAGCCCATCCACGCTAATTGGTGGAGAGACGCACATCTCTGTCAATTCTCATTGTGCACTTGGTTAGCTGGGACGGCTTCTGTCACAGGGCATCGCTTCACCTTGTTATGGCAGCGTGTTCCCTCAGGGTTTGGGGGCGGGGTGAAGAGGGCACCCAGCCAGCCCAGATGTTCTTTTCGGCTTCACAACCACAACTCACTGTCACCTAGTTGAGTTCCACCACTATGCCATACATAGGGGGACCAGTTGCCAAGGCAACAATGCTCCTGCCTAATGGCTAGATCAGTGTGCTGGATTCTAAATGGATGGTTATTTTGTGCTTTTTTTGTGTTCGCCATCTGCTACGAGTCCAGGTTGGTTTTCCAGATGGAGCTATATGTTGCCCCGTACTTGGACTGAGAGAAGGGCAGCGACCATTAAGCCCGTTTGACTGCAGCGCTAAAAATTTGGCGTCCCTTGTTAACCCTTATTAAAGGAGGATGCTGCTCATCTCAAATGCATTTGGGCAGTTATATACATGCACAGTATATACACTGCCCGGCCAAAAAAAGAGTTGCTGTTTGGATTTAAATAGACAAATGCTCAAGAGTCTATGATTGGATCATAATTGCAGTGATTATTATGTTTCTGGCATGTTATATGTTTGGCAACAGTTGTTCCAGCCCGTTCTCATCCCAAGGCGTCATACATGTGACGCTTTTGACATTTCGTCGAAATCTTACACACATGGCATCCTTTAGCATCAATATGAGACGCAGAACCCAAGGCGTCATACAGGTGACGCGCGTCTAAATCCAACGCACATGGCATCGTTTAGCGTGAATATGAGACGCAGAACCCAAGGCGTCATAACCGTACCCTACCCCAGACCTAAACCTACCCATAACAGTGCGTGTTATATTGACGCTAAAGGATGCCATGTGCGTAAGATTTCGACGAAATGTCATATGGCGTCACCTATATGACGCCAAAGGATGAGAATGTGTTGGTTGTTCTAACCCTTATAGATGGATTGTGTAGCTTTTCATTACTTAACCATGTAGGAAGACACATCATGGCTATATTCCAGGATGACAATGTCAAGATTCATCGGGCTCAAACTGGGAAAGAATGGTTGGGATGGAGGGAGCATGAAGAATCATTTTCACACATGAATTGGCACCTCTGAGTCATTGAAATCCCTTGGGATGTGCTGGAGGAGACTTTACAGAGGGCTTGACTCTTGCATTGTCAATACAAGATCTTGACAAAATATTGGTTCACCTCTTGATGGAAATAAATGTTGTGATGTTATTTCTATCAAGACGTGCATCAATTGTTTGGTCAAGATCTTGATAAATCACATTTTAGCTTGTTTGTAGAGAGTATATTTTGTACGTTCCTTTGATAAAACATGAATATATAATGAATGGAATGTCTTGCAATACTCGTTATTATCTTGAGGTATAACATTCAATACAGTGCTCTTGTAGGGGAGGTCATTCAGAAAAAAGTGAGCACTTGTCGCTTGTAGCATAATCAGCATTATAGAAGAATGAAAATAATCAAATAACAGCCCACTTCCCTGTAAAATCAAGTGACCTGGCAAATTTTTCTTGTCTTTTTTTTTTATCCCTTTTTAATTCAGGTGGCAGTACAATCTTGTTTGTTATTTTATCATCTGTCTGGGCTAATTTCTTCCTCACATTACATAGGAGACTAGGAAAGCAATTCATTTTCCATTGGGTTTGTGGTTGTTTCCTGATTGAATGTGGAAAACAATTTGACTATCATATGTAGATGTATTTAGAGAATTCTGTTCCCTCACATTATTTCATTTCGATAGTCCACTTTAGATGTTATGCTAACTATATACTATATTTATAACTTTGCAACTACATGTCAGCTACCAGTCATTATCAGTAGACTGTTAAGACTCTTATAGAGTAAGTTGATATGTACTTGCAAAGTTACTTATAGTCAGTAGAATGTCTGTTGGGGATCATCAAAATAAAGTGTTAGCAGATATTAAGCAGACAGATATTACTGATGACTGGTAGTTGACATGTAGTTGCAAAGTTACTTATAGTTAATATAATATCGAAATTATATCGAAATATATTGTTACCCTTCAGAACCAGACTTTCGACCTATGCATTAGGTATGTCCACTTTGCAGTTTATTCTCCTCTCCTCCTCACCCACCAGTGCATTCATGGACATGCCCCCCTTTACCTACAGGAACTCCTCAAACACCAGAGCTCCTCACGCACTCTCCGGTCTGCAAACACAATCACCCTTTATGTCCCCAGAACCAAGCTCTGTAGCATGGGTGGTAGGGCCTTTTCATCGGCTGCTCCGAGGCTGTGGAATGCCCTCCCTGATCACCTGAGGGCCCCACAGACTACAGATGTTTTTAAACAAAACCTAAAAACGTATCTTTTTAAAAAAAGCTTTTAAATAAATGTATTTTATAGGGACCCCCCCTTGATTTTGAGTTTTTAATTATATTACTATATGGTCTGTAGCACTTTGAGATTGCTAAAATGTAAAGTGCAATACAAATAAAATTTATTATTATTATTATTATTATTATTCTGTTTGGAAACGGTCTATTTAGACAAGAGCCCCGTCTGACATGCTAATGAACCAACCACTGTTTCTTTCTTTTTACGTACCAGTAAAAAAGTTTACGTACGTGCATTCGAAGTTGCAAAAGCCAGCTGAACAGATTGAAACTGATGATTTCGGACGGTTCTTGACTGTCTGATCCTATTTGAAACTACAGGGAAATTTCATCCTTTAACATCAACAGCTGGAATTAAAACCATTTTAAGCTGATTTCTAAAAGCTTAAACATGGTGTGATGCTTTTGAATTGACTTTGCTTTTGAATTGTTTGCATTATGAATTTGTGCTCCCATATGCTTGCAGGTACTCTGTGCATTAATGCACATTATCTGTGTTTTCTCCCCAGTCCCTCAGGGAGTGATCCAGAACGGAGCTCGAATGATGAGCCAGGGCCTCTTCCCAGGAATCCGACCCCTTCCCATCAACCCCATTGTCAGCAGGACAGCCACTGTCAGGTCAGTCCTGTCCCTCCAGGTCACTTTGAGCGAATTTCCTGTCTCCGCTGACTCATTACTTGATTGACAGGTTTATCAGCCAATCAGAATCATGCTCACACTGCAGATCTTGGTTCATATCTGATCTTTGCCTTTGACTCTGTGAAGTCTGGCTGCTTTTTATTAGAGCAGAACAGCCAGGTCATTCACAGACATCAGCACACCTCCTTATTCAGACTTAGGCCCTGCTCTTGCATGCATGATGTGAGATGAATAATTGATCACATACACTAAGTTTTTTTAATGGCATGACCGAACACATGGACAGTCTGTCTTGCTGTGAAACATTCATAAGCCTGGGCACTAAAAGGTTGTAATTAGAACATAGGGCTCGAATAGGTGGAAAAACAGCAGAATCACCGGTTTAAACAGAGAGGTTCGCAATGTCTAAGTGTGTGTGTGTGTGTTTGTATGTGCGCTCACCTAAAGTCTTCTAAACGACATGTCAAGGTCACATCGTAATATGTCCAATTTTACTTTATATATTAAAATGCATAACAGAATAGTCTAAAACAACTTTAGAATAAACACTTTTTATAAGGAATAGGAATAGTGAAAAGGAATTTCACCCAAAAATAAAAATGTCCATATTAATTACTCACACCAAGGCCATCCAAGCCTCTGTTTACACCTGGTATTAAGATGCGTTTTGGGCAATCGGATCACAAGTGGGCGATGCTAAATACTGGTGTAAACAGGGTCTAAAACGTTTTGAGCTTGTCCACTTTTGACCACTTCCAGAGGTGGTCGAAAATACATTAGACCGGATTGCTTTCATAGTCTAAACGCTCATGTGGTAGAAAGTGTTCCAACAGCCACAAAAGACGCCTACTCTCCGCCTACTGAACTACACTCACCTAAAGGATTATTAGGAACACCTGTTCAATTTCTCATTAATGCAATTATCTAATCAACCAATCACATGGCAGTTGCTTCAATGCATTTAGGGGTGTGGTCCTGGTCAAGACAATCTCCTGAACTCCAAACTGAATGTCAGAATTGGAAAGAAAGGTGATTTAAGCAATTTTGAGCGTGGGATGGTTGTTGGTGCCAGACGGGCCGGTCTGAGTATTTCACAATCTGCTCAGTTACTGGGATTTTCACGCACATCCATTTCTAGGGTTTACAAAGAATGGTGTGAAAAGGGGAAAACATCCAGTATGCGGCAGTCCTGTGGGCGAAAATGCCTTGTTGATGCTAGAGGTCAGAGGAGAATGGGCCGACTGACTCAAGGTGATAGAAGAGCAACTTTGACTGAAATAACCACTCGTTACAACCGAGGTATGCAGCAAAGCATTTGTGAAGCCACAACACACACAACCTTGAGGCGGATGGGCTACAACAGCAGAAGACCCCATCGGGTAACACTCATCTCCACTACAAATAGGAAAAAGAGGCTACAATTTGCAAGAGCTCACCAAAATTGGACAGTTGAAGACTGGAAAAATGTTGCCTGGTCTGATGAGTCTCGATTTCTGTTGAGACATTCAGATGGTAGAGTCAGAATTTGGCGTAAACAGGATGAGAACATGGATCCATCATGCCTTGTTACCACTGTGCAGGCTGCTGGTGGTGGTGTAATGGTGTGGGGGATGTTTTCTTGGCACACTTTAGGCCCCTTAGTGCCAATCGGACATCGTTTAAATGCCACGGCCTACCTGAGCATTGTTTCTGACCATGTCCATCCCTTTATGGCCACCATGTACCCATCCTCTGATGGCTACTTCCAGCAGGTTAATGCACCATGTCACAAAGCTCGAATCATTTCAAATTGGTTTCTTGAACATGACAATGAGTTCACTGTACTAAAATGGCCCCCACAGTCACCAGATCTCCACCCAATAGAGCATCTTTGGGATGTGGTGGAACGGGAGCTTCGTGCCCTGGATGTGCATCCCACAAATCTCCATCAACTGCAAGATGCTATCCTATCAATATGGGCCAACATTTCTAAAGAATGCTTTCAGCACCTTGTTGAATCAATGCCACGTAGAATTAAGGCAGTTCTGAAGGCGAAAGGGGGTCAAACACAGTATTAGTATGTTGTTCCTAATAATCCTTTAGGTGAGTGTAAACATTATGGAAAGCGCGCTAGTTAGATGGGATTTAAACTTTGTCGGCTGAAGACCCAAGTTTGGTTTGAAGATGGAAAACATACCAAGCACAATGTTCCCTCACAATTCCTGATTTCTAACAGTCACTCACTTTGTTTGACGTGGTCTAGTGGCTATCAGAGCAGAAACGAAAGCTGCTGCCCTCTGTATGTTGTCTCCAGTCACGTTCATATGTAAATTGCGTGAGCTTATTTTGTCCATTATAACGAAAGATCTGAAAAAGCCCATACATTTACCCACCCATAGACCCTCCCCTTAAAGAAATCGGGACAGAAGTGGTTGAAAGTGGACAAAGATGGATTAAAACAGCAGGTATAAACGTGGAATGTCTCCCTCGTCTACTTGTGATCCGATCGACCAAAACGCATCTTAATATCAGGTGTAAACTGGGCCAAAGATGTACAGTGGGTACTCAACCAGAATAATACTTTTACCGCCGCCGCTCCCGCGGCGGTAAAATTCTGGTGTGTATTTGTTGCCTTTTACCGCTAAGAGGCGCTACAATTACAGACTTTGAAAAGTGTCAGTTTATTCTCTCTATTGCGTAATCTGCCGCAGTGCCGCTGCTCATTCAGAGCCATTGAAAGCTGGTAACAGATGATTTCAAGTGAAACTTGTAGTTAAACGAATTCATAATCACAATAGGCCTACTGAAATTAAATTGAATAAAGTGAAAACATTTCAACATAAAACATCGCAACCGAAACATATTAGGCTATCAATGAGGGTTTGGAAGAGCATAAGACTATATTTAACAGCGTTCAGACGATAGCTCAGCGGTTAACGCAACAACATGAGCCGCACTACGCTTCAAACGATCTGAGATCGAATCTCAATGGAGCCAATTTGCTGTTGGCCGAATTCGTTTATGTTTTACCGTTCTTGATGCTTCAATAGGTAACTGTTTATTAGCGAGTTCATTAACTGTTTACTTATGTAAAGTCAAGAGTTTTGTTTAAATTATCAATGGCACATTACAACATAAATTTGCTACATTCCAGTAGAGCCGCTGCACGACAAAACTGATGAGGGAAGATTAGCTGATCGCGTCAGAAAATGAAAATAATGAAGCTTGTCTTTAATCTGCTAAATTATTGTTTTGTGAATCATTCACGAAATTGAGGTGATAGACAGTGATACCCGGCCATAGCAACGGAAGAAATTTTTCAAAACAGATCCATAAATTGAACAAATCAGAAAAGACTGATTTTGTTGACTTGGCTACACAAAATAACAGACTAACTAAATAGTATTGCTTTCAATATAAAAAAAAATGAAAATGTAAAAGAACACTAAAATTAATTAAGTTTGAAACCCCATTGCACATTTTTAAGGTTTAAATAAAGTGGGACAGTTTATTTGTTTAAAACAGCTGGTTGCATTGAGTTTAGAGTTTATTTCCTTTGCGATGCAAAATAAGAAACACAGAATCTTATTCTTGCAACATTTTAAATTTGTATTGCCAAATAAATTGCAGCTTAATTAAACAATTAAAACAGTACAAAACGAACAAAACGACATAAATTAAGAACATGCGTTTTTCTTTGCCTCTCTCTTGCGCTGGATCTCTTTTTAGCAAGTTTATTTTGTCTCCCTCCAAAAAAAAAAAAAAAAACCTGTAACAAATGATTTTGCCTTTGTTGCTTCAAAGACACAGCATGCCTTGTTGAATTCACTTACAATAAAACGAGGTTGAATTAAAGAGCTCTTTATCTGCTTCGTTTCGTCAACAGTTAATGTTTAGATAATGCCAGATTGTTGACAATCATACACACTGCTTCAAACATTCTAAAACTCTATAAAAACAGTTGAAACAACTGGATTGAACACTTTAATTTAAATTTTGTGTGAAAAACTTTAAATACAAAAAATACACTATATTTATAATTAAATAAGATATAGGGCCTACATTTGGACACATCGAGAGATTTATCCTTAAAAGAATTTAGCCTTTGCCTGCTCATTGGGCTGGCTATCCGACATCTCCATATGAAAGACGAACATTAACACCTATTGTGCACGCACGATAAAGCCACTGTCCCTCCAAACCCCCACAGGCTCTCTGAATCTGAGACTGACTTAAAACAAGAAGTCGCAATTCACACTTAAACCGCTATTAGACATTAGCATTAGGCTATTAAAGTGTTGATAATGAAGGAATTAAATAATGTGAGCTACATGTAGTGATATTTCTGTCATGAAACTTTATTACTAAATATTTAATTTCAATAATTCATTCAATTTCAATACATTTTTCTTTTTTATTCAAATAAATCTCGAACCACAGTGCTTCGTTGTGCTGCTGTTAAACTAAATAACATTTATAGAATAATTATGAACTTAAATTAAACAATAGCGCAACATTTCGACAAATAAATTATTTGATTTGTTTTTACATTTTAATTCAGGGCGATTTAGCCTATTTAATAGAGCGAGATTTTCCCCTTGCCTTGTCCTTTCCTCATTTTTAAGCGCTCACATAGTTAAACATGTTTTAAGTAGATCCTCTGTACCTCTGTACCTCTCAGTTTCAGATGGATTAGGCTACATAATCAGATAACATTTATTAAATATTTAGACATTTAAAGGCTTTAGACATGAGCTGAGGCAAGTGGCTTTCGGTTCAGTTTTGTGACGAGCAGTTCCCGGAGACAGAGACGACTGCTAAAATGTTGTTAGCCTAATATGAATAAAAGTTTACTAGAAGCCTATTAAGTTATTTTAGCTGTTATGAGAAAAATAAATCCAAGTGAACGCGCCGCCGCGTTTGTCGAACACTAATTCAACATGCCAGAATAAAACCCGACTTTAGAACAATAGCGACACTCGACGTGATGTGCCAAAACTATAAACTTCAATATTTCATTCAAAATAATCTCAAAACGCTTTGTGACATTTTGAAAAGCCGTGGGCCTACATTAAGGCCACTGGAACCACGAACGTAGGCTACTGTAACTGAAACGCTGGTTTTGATTTTATTGTTTGTCGTTTAAACGTGCCTGTTGCATATCTTTATTTTATATATTTTATATGGTCTATTGGTGAAGTAGCCTAAGCCTATTAGCACTGATTACTGCGGAGGAAGGGGGTGGGGGGTTAAAATAATTCAGCAGCAGGGATGTTTAGACCAGAAGGAAATCCCCGTCCCCCCTGGCAAATCACACCTTGCTTAAAACCATGTTTTTAAAAACTCAATGTAGGGAATCCAAAAAATAGGCTATATAGGCCTAGGCTATATATATATATATTTTTTTTTTTTTTTTTTTTTTTTACAGAACTGCTTTTGAAATTACGAATGGTATAAGATGTTAAGTCATTCTGTTGGATACTATTTGTTCCAGTGTAAAATGGAAATGCATGGCAATTTTCTTTTATAATATAAGCAAAAACTAGGCCTATATCGTGCATAACAGAGTTTTAGAACTAGACAAATCTCTCTGCATTAATAATAGGATATAAAATGCATTAATAGGGTAATATAAAATTGACAAAAGTCCTTGTTTGTGCGGGATTTGAACCCGTGTCATCTAAATGATTGAATCGTAAGTTCTTCCACTCGGCCATGAATTTACTCACTGTGAAATGCCCAAACGTTTGTTTCTCCAGTGTGTTCACTCACATGAGCGAGAAAACGTTTTATCGTTAGCATAAAACACCTTTTACTGTTTTAAAAGACGATATCTTATCTGTATGACCAAAAATTACAGAGTAGGATAGCTTCTATCCTAGAAAGTTCTTTTAGTTGTTATGAGAAAAAATAAATTCAAGTGAAAGCGCCGCCGTGTTTGTTGAACTCTATTTCAACATGCCAGACTTTAGAATAATGCGTAGCGCCACTCGGCGTGATGTGCCAAAACACTTAATTATAAACTTCAATATTTCATTCAAAAACATCTCAAAACGCTTTGTGACATTTTGAAAAGCCATGAACGTATTAAGGCCACTGGAACCAGGATCGTAACTGAAACGCGCTGCATGTTATCTCTCAATACAGGAGCAGAAGCGCCGGTTCAGATTTTATTGTTTGTTGTTTAAACGTGCGTGTTGCATATTTTATATATATATAATATATATATTTGATATGGTCTATTGGTGAATTAGGCAAAGCATTGATTACTGGGGGGAAATCCCCCACCAGCATATCGCACCTTGTTACACAATTTTTTTAAAAACGTAGCCTATGGAACCCCATGAAGTTTTTTTTTTTTCTGTTTTTTTAACAGAACTGCTTTTGAAATTACGATTGGAATTATTATACAGATTGATATAAATTCAGTCAATCTTGTGGATAATATTTGTTCCTTTGTGTAAAATGGAAAAATGCATGGAATTGTATTTTATAAGTAGGCTACCGTGTTTGGACAGGATTTGAACCCGTGTCATCAAAATTATTGAAACCTAAGTTCTACCACTCGACCACAACTTTTCTCACTGAGAATTTCCCAGAAGTTCGGTAGTTCAGCAGTCAGTGCGCGCACACGAGAGAAGCGCTCTTCTTCAATCCTCTCATTCCTCAATAGTTTAGCGTCATTGCACCTAATTGCGAGAGAGGCCTATTTTAACTTTTGATTCATAAAATGTTCTGCTCTAAAAGTGTTATATTCTGTTTAAATGTAGCCTACTTTTACTTTACGTTTTGCTTTCGTTTAATTTAACTGAATCTGTTAGCCTATAGGTTAAACTATTTATATTTTTATTATTATTATTTTTTTGTTCTAAAGGTTTGTTCTATTCTCTTTCGTTTGTTTATTTTTATTTTATTTTTTACATATTCAATCAGTCTCAACTATTTCATCCTTACTGTTAATTGACATTAGCCCGTTTCAAAATGCAGCAATTGCGGCTGTTTTGCTAAATGCCCCTTTGCGCCACCTGGCGGTCATTTCGCGAAGGACTTTGAAATGCGACTAGTTTATTTTTGCCGCGGTGGATTTGCCGCGGCACGAGTCGCGGCGGTAATAGGCATTCTGGTTGAGTACCTACTGTATATGACTTTCTATCCTCAGCTGAAGAGAAACTTTTGAGGAAAAACATTGCAGGAATTTTCTCCATCTAATGCAAGTAAACTGGGATCAGAGTCTATTTTTGATTTAATTTTGATTAACTCACTTTATTAACTTACTATAAATCTCAGGGGCAACTTTATGTAAATATATTAAGTCAAACAGATTCGGCCAACAATTTTTTTTATGTGTTTGAAACACAAAAGCCTTCCAAAGACAGTAAAACATGGTTAAATATTTAACCTATATTAGCAGTAGGCTTTTTAGAAAGGAAAATTAAAAAGATAAAAAAGAAGTATCAATGAATTATAAATAATTTACAGCCATTGTGAGAATAACATGTAATCATGTAATCAATAAAGAGTAACCGTAGTCCGATTACGAGTATCTTAAAACGTAATATAATAAATTACAAGTACTTAATTTTGGAATCTACTTATGTAATCCAGATTACATGTAATCAGTTACTACCCAGCACTATATATCCTTTTTGCATAGCAGTAATTGCATAAAGAAAATATATATAAGTACATTTTCCCCTACTTTCCTTTCCACGTGCATTTATTTACAAATTATTTTGTTGTACAATAAAATTACTTTAAATGCTGTAAAGCAAATACTAAATTATATAATTATAAATAATAAATCATACATCTAAAAATATTTTGTCGTTTTTGTTTCATCACATCAATGAAATTTGCTTATTTGTCACGAAGATAATGTTAAATCCCCCAGTAAGATTCATTATTTTATTAGCATAAAACAAAGGCATAGACCATATAAATATGTCAGATTACCTCTATTATGATATGAGCATTCAGCAACAGCTCTCCTTTGTCCATATGCACACACAGGGCCTCAGCCTCTCAGTTGCTGTATGATGCCCATATCGTGTAGTGACGGTCCGAAGAGTAAAACAGCCTCTTTAAAATGAGTGACACTGCATTTAGGCATTAATTATTGAAGCAGTTTCTTTAGCCTGCTGTGCTGCGGCTATAATTTATGAGTCATAAATGCACATATGAGGCAGGAAGTGGAAAAGCTCTTAGGATTATTTTTCGAACCACAGAGGGAGGTTTAGCGTTCCTGCAGCAAATATGCAAAGTGCGTTCTTTTTCACTCTTAAACTGAACTGTGACCAGAAGCACAAAACAAATGTCATTGTAAAGACACTTGATTATGTTTCTGAAAATAAGAGGCATAAACAGAGCTAAACTGTCTTTATTCACTTATTTTTCATCATATTATTTTACAGAAAAGTGGAGAGTTTTGTAAACCCCCAATTAATTCACTTTTTAATTGTAGTTGGTCGGCTGAAGATGTGCTTCAAAGCTCAAGTGTATTTCAGAGACAAATGCTTACAATAATTGTTTTTAACATTTGAGGATGTGGTGCTTACCAACACACAATACAAGTTTAATAAAAAAGAAGAGCTGTGAGATGTGCTAACCACTGTTGTGGTTCTAGCATTTTACCCTGTAATCAAAAGAGAGAAAAAGAGAATGATTAATAATAAGCACTGTTTCATGACAATCGAATAAATGAAGCCTTGGTGAACATAAGAGACTTCCTTTTAAAATCATTAAAAATCGTACTGACCCCAAACTTTTGAATGTATGATATATGATTATTTAATTTCCTTTTTTTCTCTTTTGATTTGTGGGTGAAATATGACCCAGGCATATCCTTGACTGGTTTTGTGATTTAGATTTTACCCACTTTATACAATAACAAATGGACTGAATGTATTCATGTGTTCCAGAGGTTGTTGCCATCTGTGCAAAAAAACAGCAAAACATCAGTACAGAGTGTCCATGTTACACATATTATTATAATTAATTACTATAGTAGCATAATTACAAGCAGCTCCACAAAATAATTACACAGTTAGCGCATGTAGTTCATTTGTTTTCCGAAGCACTTACACAGTACAACAAGAACAGCATGTGTGCGGTTTGCACTAATGCATCTCTCGTCTGTGTTATAGGTCAGTACTCGAATACAGGATTACCAGTGACGGCGAGCCCACCTGTAACTCTCCACTGGTCAGCAGTGACTCCAAGGATGACCACAACTACAGTTTTGCCAAATCTTCCAGCTCGGACGTCGGAGAAGAGGCTCACTGCGATGGAAGCGAGGTGAGCTTCCACGCCAACGAGACTGGCAGCGATGTCGAGGACGACGACAAGAGCAAAATCAAGAAGGAGCCCAAAGAGTGGTCCGTGGACGCCCTCGCTCTGGCCCAGCACAAGAAACGGCAACATTTGACAAAAGTCAAACAGAGAGTGGCCAGTGACACTCTTCCTCTAAAAAAGAGGCGCACAGAGAAGCCTCCGGAAAGTGACGACGAGGAGATGAAGGAGGCGGCCGGGTCCCTGCTTCATTTGGCGGGAGTCAGGGCCTGTTTGAACAATATCACCAACCGGACGGCAAAGGGGCAGAAAGAGCAAAAATAATGAACAGACTGTATTATAAAGAGAGAGAAAAAAACATCACTTTGAATAGAATTTACTATTTTCTTTCCCAGGACATCAGGTGAATTCTACTGATTTGTGGCAATATCAACAATCACTTTGTTTTCCTATCTTTATAGGTAACATTTTACTGAGGGTTTCTTGTTTTGGTTCACCTATTTTATTGTGTTTTCTTTCTTTTTTCTAATCTACGGAGATTGAAGCCATAGCCTTCCCTTTTTTAAGATATTCAGCCAATTATTTCATTCTTCTGAGAGAGGAGAAAAAAAAAAGTGATAGCAAAATTTGCCCTGCCCCATTGTCATAGTGAAAAGTGAAACTACTCTTAATTTGTGGTGCAGCTTGCCAGAGTTACTGATAATTATAGGTTCTAGTAATCTCTGATGTAATATAAGATGTTTTAGAAGCACAGGGCAGTGCCAAAGACAATCCTCGGGCAGTTTCTGTGATGTCACTTCCCCTTGATGCTCTCACCGGTAAAAGAAGTCCAGCAGCATCGAGTGGAGACAGCTCATGTCTGTAGTTGTCGTTTGGCTCGTATGAATCATGATTCACCACGATGAGAGTAAACCATAAGCCTTTGTCAAAGTGCTTTTTGGTGGCAAAAGTGATACATTTACCAATATGTCTTTCAAAACTGCCCACGTTTTTTTTCCTAAGCAATCAAAATGAGTGATATTTTCCTTCTAAAGCGATTGTGGATGGTGATATTTCTTCTTCGGCACAATGAAAAGGACAACTCTGAGCTAATGCTACAATACCTGCCAATTGTATTTTAATAGCGGAAAATAATGACTGGAGTTTTTTTGTGTTCGTTCGTTCGTTTACGTTTTCTAATTTTTTTATTTGAAACCCTCGTGATGTAATAAGCAATTTCATCCAGTCAGGATAAACACTGTATAAAAGTAACACTAGACCGTTTTCCTTTCTTAATTTAAGCAATGTAGCCAGCAGGATTTTCCAAATCGTGTTGCATGGGTTCTGTAAAGAAAAAGAAGACCGTTTTTTTAAAAAAAAATCAAAGTTCATGTAAGGTAAATAATGTATTTAGCATGGAGCATGAATTATTTTCATATAAATATAGATCCTAGAGAACTAAGGCACCGCCTCTAATTTCTATGCCAATAGGCCTAGTCTCTTTCGTTGTTTTTGTCAGTTTTGATTTCGATTTGTCGTCCTCATCATCGCCTTCGTGTTAAAGCAGGCATCTTCACAATTACCTTCTTCAGGGACAAACACTGACTGTTGGGAAACTCTCTCTGCAATACGAGGACTCGGGCTTGGGCCGTCTCGGTCCACGCTAACGGCCGCCCCTCTAACGAATACCCGCTACGTCAATGTCCGTGTCTTCAAGGAGAAGTTCGTAGTGAGTGTCGGTCCCCTGCTACTTCCGGCTTCGTGCCTGCTTTTCTTCCGTGTGTAATCCGGATGTGCGTGTCTGTGATTTATTCAGGGTCTTCCATTTTGTTCCACGAGACTTTGGATCTACAGTACAAGTAGTTTTTTTGTTCCCGTATTTACATGTAGCACTGTTCAGGAGTCATCAGTATTGATTCAGTTCTCGGTACAGGCAGTCAGACGGATATTTACGCCTCCACACATATATATTTAAGCACTTATAGACGAAAACAAGTGATATCAGAGCTCAGTGCAAACGCTGGTGTATATATTTTCACGACCTCACCGAATTGCACTTTTATTGTTTTAACGTATGGTAAAGAACTTAAGGGTTCAGTGCCAAAGCCTGTAATGACTCTATACACATGCATACTTGATATGTTAGTCATAAACATGTCAATGAGTTGTAGCATTTCTCTCAAGTACCCATGTATAAGATATTCTCAGTCATATTTGTTAATATCGCTCTGCATTGCTGTTTCATGAAGTCACACTGTCTTCCCTGTTCATCTGATGATGATAATGGTTCGACCTAATGTTTTGTAGCGTGTTGAATGTTATATCTGACCCATGAGTGTTAATGTGACGTCTCCAGTTGGCATGCCTTTCCCTAACCAAGTTAGACATTTCTTGACGTTTCCTCCCCACATCTATGCGAAATAACCCCAATTATAACCTTGTCTGCTGGTCTTTATCAACATCTGCCATATCACGTTTCTGTTCAATGTGCTTCAAACTGGGAAACCGGTAGCAGAGAGAGCTACGAGTCCTTTATACACTGCCTTCCTTCAAAGAAAACACTCACTACGTAACTTTTCCTCTCCTGTTCTTTCAGAGGAACCTGAAACACGTTAAAAAGAAGAGCCAGCCAAAAAAATAATAATAAAAAAACGTTAATAGGAGGCGAAGTGTTTCTTTTTTTTCCCATTGTGTTTTTTTTTGTTGTTGTTGTTGATCGTTTTGTTGAAAGGTTCCTGTTAACTGCCATTCTGTTAAGCGTTTGAGTTGTTTAAGATGAAAGTAACGGAGTTCATTTGGTTTGTAATGAATTATTCGGTCTGATGGCATGTGCACCCTGCTAATATGTCAATATAGAGGCGTAATTGCACTCTGTATTTCCTTTGACTTGTAATCATATTGCCAAAGACAACAGTTTTATCGATTAATGTAAATACCACTTTGTCCATTGCTACGACAAATTCCATTTGTTTTTCTTTCATTTGATTTTTTTTCTCCAACCCTACCATCAAGTTTCTGTGATGTATTGTCTTCCAGTTGCAATAAAAAAAAGTTGCAAAGGTGATCTTGAACTAGCATGATGGTTTTGTGCAGCTCTAAATGCATTGTTGATATTATTGCTTAAAATAGTCATATCTTAATATATCACATGGCTCTACAAGCCAGATCAATACGTCCTTTTTAACAGCTGATTTGGGCATTATGTTTAATAGGAAGTGAAACTGAAAAAAAGTATAGGGTTCAGATTAGGTTCAGTCAGATTGTCTAAATATTTCTGAAAGTCTTATATGTTCGTCAAGGCTACATTAAGTTGATCAAAACTACAGTAAAAATAATAAATATTGTAAAATATGAAATAACTGCTTTTTATTTGAATGTAATTTATTTCTGTGATGTCAAAGCTGAATTTTCAGCATCATTCCTCCAGTCTTCAGTGTCACATGATCCTCCAGAAATCATTATAATATGCTGATTTGCTGCTCAAGAACCATTTCTTATTATTATCAGTGTTGAAAACAGTTGTACTGCTTAATATCTTTGTGTAAAGGATTTTTTCAGGATTCTATACTGAATATAAAGTTTTAAAAGCAGCATTTATTTAGAATATAAACCTTTTGTAACATTATAAATGTCATTACTGTCATGTTTGATCAATTGAATGCATCATTGCTGAATAAAATTATTGGTCACACTTTAGATTAGGTTTCAATTCTCACTATTAACTAACTATTGTACTACTGTACAACTTTTGGCTCAATAAACTCCTAATTACTTCTTATTCATAGTTCGTAAAGTAGTTGTTTAGAAATTGGGTTGGATTAAGGGATGTAGAATATGGTCATGCAGAATAAGGCATTAATATGTGCTTTATAAGTACTAATAAACAACCAATATCCTAGTAATATGCATGCTAATATGCAACTAGTTGGACCCTAAACTAAAGTATTAATTTCTTCTTACTCGCCTTAAATCTTTCTGTTGGAAAATCTAGTTGCTACATATTAAAAACGTTAGACAATAAAATGACTCTCAATAACTTCCCACAATTTGTAAATCTTCACAAACCCTAAATTGTCTTTAATGTCTCTACTGCCTGCTGATGTCATCTTATTGTACTGATCCATTCCTGAATGTCACATGACTGAAGATGAGAAACAGGAGCAGTGACTGTATTTGGAACATGACACAATTCTTATATTGATCCTGATTGTCACTTCCTTCTCAGCAACCTATACAGCCCAGCCCCCAGAAAACTTCACACACTGCAGATTAGCTGATGAAAGACTTGAATGACCAAGTAATACGAGTATAAAGGACAAGCTAGAAGTTTTGCTTACAGTTGCATACTTAAAGATACAGTTTATTTGCTAAATTGAACACAAATTCCTGTACTTCATAAATGGAACAAACATGAAATCTGAGGTTTGACAGTTTCTGATGTCTGGTATTTGCATCGGAGTGAACTTTATTTACACATATAATTTAGATGCCATTTGGAAGCGACGTGGCCTATACTTAATCCAAGCCCGTTTACACCTGTTATTAAGATGCGCTTTGGGCGATCTAAATACTGGTGTAAACGGGCTCTAAAACGTTTTTGAGCTTCCCCACGTTCGACCACTTCCAGAGGTATAGTCAAAGATGCAATCGACCGGATTGCTCTCGTAATTTAGGTCCTGTTTACACGTGGTATTAAAGGCACACTATGCAGGAATTCCGTTTTTGTCAAACAGCGACCCTAAAGTCGCTGTGGAGTACTTGTATTTAACGTTACTGTCGTAAATACCTCTCACGCAGAGCGTCTCTGCACTCACGGCCTGATACCCCTTTGAAGCTGTTATATTAAGGTACAAAATACAAATCTTGCATAGTGTGCCTTTAAATAAGAGGGGGTGTTTATGGGTAGGCCTACTATGATATTAGACTATATAGCCTAAAATAAAAGATAATGAATTTCAAACCTGAACCAAATTTTTTTTTTAAAAGATCAACAGTCTGTCATTAGTCTGCTACTAAAAAACGTCGTGTTGTGGTTCCGGTACACCACCCATGTCAACGAAACGAATGAATGGAAATTTGCTTATCAATGTATATCTAAATTCGCGCCTACAATCCTACAATTTTCGGGACGTCTGGTCCCCCTATGTGGCGGCGCGTGCGCAGTCTCCACTCGGACGCGGTCTTCAATCTATCGCCATTACGGACTATCTCTATTCATTCCGGTGAAATCACAAAATAAAATGCACACAAACTTAGAAATATTTACTTACTAGTCCATCAACAAGATCGACGCCAGGTCAGCATCACTGTTGCATCCAGTGCTGCTTTTTAGCTCGCGCCAACGAGTGAAAAGCCCCATCTATGGAAAAGCCTGACCGAGTGGGACTCTTGTCTGGTTCCTCACGCGGTCAGATTATCTTTTCCTTTTCCTAGTCTCTCCCGACCGCGTTTTCTTTGCTTTTTCCATCGACCAGTATCACGTCTGAAATGCGCGCAAGTGTCTTCGTGCTTCATGCTGTGGTTGATGTGTGTGACGTCGTTGCCGTAAAGCATGTCGTGATTCTCGCGAGATTTGTCGGGGGCGCTCCTCTCAAACTTGCATTGCTGGTTTTTCCAGCGGCGTTCCCCCCTAGCTTTACTACCAGGATGATTCGCCCTACTATGAGTTTGTTTACCACCGAAATGACTTTGAAGCTGTTATATTAAGGTACAATTCTTGCATAGTGTGCCTTTAAATGGCTAGTTCACCCAAAAAATTCTGTAATTAATTACTCACCCTCATGTCATTTCAAACCCGTAAGACTTTCTTCTTCATCTTCGGAACACAAATTATATTTTTGATGAAATCTAAGAGGTTTCTGACCCCCCCCCCCCCCATAGACTACAACGCAATTACCACTTTCAAGGCCCAGAAAGGTAGTAAAGACATTGTTAAAATAGTCCGTGACTACAGTCGATCATGGACCTTAATGATATGAAGCGATGAGAATACAAATCACGGACCTTTATGATATAAAGCGACGAGAATACTTTTTGTGAGCAAACAAATACAAAAAATAATGACTTTATTCAACAATTTCTTCTCTTCCGTGTCAAGTCTCTGACGCTGTCCACGTTGTAAACAGAGCAGCGCTTCTGTGTGTATATCCGAATGTGTGTCCATCATCTACTTTTGATCCGATCGAACAAAGCAGATCTTAATACCAGGTGTAAGCAGGGCCAAAGAGTGCTAGTTTGGAAACACAACCGCACCCATGCTCGCCTGTGTTGCTATGCAACTGCAGGAAAAGAGAGACTGAAAATGTACAAGAAGCTTGTTGCCAGACACAGACATGCAGAGTTCATCTATTTTGCAAAGGTTACACACAGGTCACTGGAGCTGAGGTAACATGTGCTTCACTTTACACTGACATAATCTGGGGAAAATTTGATTCAAAACAAAACTAACACCAAACAATTGTCATTATTCAATTTTGGCTGCCTGTGCGTGTTATTGTGGAGTTTGGCACACTCGTGACCTCATAATACAATCCCTGCAAACATCACACTGGCAGTCAAAAGGCTGTTTCATTTACTCAGTAAATCTATCTTAGCGTTCTTCTGAAATCTCCCACGAGAGCCGGCGCGCAGCCCCAAAACACACTTCCAAAAGACATATTGCATGTGTTTGTTGCCAAGGAAACAAAGCGAGGTGGCTTTCATTTCAGCACATCCGAATGTTATTTTTCTGTCTTTCGGCAGCACGTAACATGAAAAACTGCACTGGGGTTTATCACACTGTTTTGTCTGGAGAGCGGCTGCCCCCCTCATCACCTAAAAAGTTGTCGTCTCAGGAGGATTGTTTGGGCTTGGAGGACCCGACAACTAGAACTAACACTTCCCACCTGCAACTACTTCAATATTTATTCTCGTTTCCAAGGTAGCAGGAAACGGAGGTGCTCATTGGCAGCGCAAATCAATAAGTGCGCTCTCTTTGATGGAATGCGCCACGAGATAATAACCATTCAAATCTGCCACACTGTGGCTTCAATTTGTCGGTCCTTGTAAGTCAGACACAAATATGGGAGTATTACAGCAAATCTGTGGCATTAAGGGAAGAATGTTTGAATACATTTGCAAGTCCATACATCTTCCCTTAATCTCCCTGATTTGCATGGGGGCACAGTCAAGGGATTTGAAGAGAAATTGGAATCTCTGGTACGACGGCTTCAGAAACGTGCCAGGACTTCATCAGTGAAGGCATGTGTTTCTACAATCACATTGTCCCTGAAATCACCAGGGTTTGAGCGGTTAGACATGCTGCTATCTCCTTCACTGATGTATAATGAGAGTAAAAACCCTAGTTATGTTACCTGAGGTGACCCATAAACGTCATCAGTATTATATGTCCATTGAACTAGATTTGAGGTGCTAAAACATGGATAATAAAAGTTTTAATAAAAAATTGCACGTTCAAGTTGGCTTCAGGTGCAGACAAATGCATAAAACGTTTGCATACTGATGTGAAATGCTCCATATTTTTTTCAATGACTGTGATGTTTCAATCTCTCATTTGTTCATCAGTGCTGTGCGAAAAGGCTATAAATCTCCACCTCCAACATCCTCATTCTTTATGTGTACAGATGTGACGTAATGACGCAAAGACATGCTCGAATCTCCCGCGGAAATCCACCAGTACCACTGGAATTAAAAACATGATTACAAACTTACCGTTTTGAATTGAGCTAAGGCAAGCAGATCGTTTTGAACACTGGCTGGTTATGTACTTGCTAGAAAAATTATTTTGGATCATTTTTAAAGAATTTTTTTAAAGAAGATACATTTACTTGACTTGAGGCAAAAAATCAAAAATACTTTATAAGTGTTTTTGAAAAAAGTTGCCAATCAGCGCCAGCATTTTTCATTGTTCCCTTTCGAGGGAACTCGCACTGCGTCGTTGAAAACGACTCTGGGGATGCTCCCTTAGCGTGCACCTCTGAAGTATGAATGAAACTAATCCAATCCTGATTGGTGTTGCGTCATGACGTAACATGTGACGGCATATAAAAGTGACGCCGGCACACA